ACAGGAACATGTCTGCATTGAACTTAACAATGTGTTTGAAATCCCTTAGAGAGGTCCAAGTCAAGAGCTTCAGAGCTTTCTGGAAGGTGTTCCAGGTTAGAGCGAAGTAAGAAAAAGCCTATTTGCCAAGTTCAGTTCACAGTGAGGGGACGCAGCAGGTAATGATGTCTTGAGAGTGCACGCTGTAACTGCACTGACAACGAGACATGTAGGAGGAGATACATGAAGGGAGCAGACCAATGAGTGATTTAAAGATGAAAATGTACCTGTGTGGGAGTTTGCGTGAAGTTAATGATGACCAGTGAATACAGAGTGCAGTGATGGGCACGGTCATTACAACCAGTTATAAATCTTAGTGCACCGTGATAGACAGCGTCCAACATCTGCAAAGTGCTTGTAAGAGCATTCATGTAAATAATGTCACCATAGTCAATGGTCAGAAGGAAAATAACAGTTACAAGGCATTTCCCAGCATTCAGAGTAAAACAAAATCTATTTCTGAAAAAGAAACCTCATTTTAATTTCAGTTTCTCTATCAAGTTTTTGACAAGCGGCTTAAAAGAGAAATGTGCATCGACCAAGATTCTCAAGTATTTGTACAAATTGTAAGAATCAACATGCTCAATAGGAACACTGTTCATAAGATAGGTGTTCCTATTGAGTTTAAGATATGATAGGAGGAAGGACTGCTGGTGCCAACTTCCTGTTTGAAAACAATATTCCTTTGGTTTTATGAGCATTTAGCACCAGCTTGAGATGGAACAAATCTGACTAGTTGATGTTTAAAGCTGGAAAACCTTAGCAACTGATTTAGCTCGACAATAAACAACTGTATCGTCAGCATAGAAATGCAAGCTTGTCTGTGTAGTCCATCAGCCAAATTATTTTAAACATATTTAAATTTAAAACATTAAAGAAATTGTGGGGTTTTGTAATGGTCAGCAGCCCCCTGCTGACCCTTCATCTACTCACATCACTGCTCCTCTTGCCATGTTTCTGCCTATCCTGCTATAATCCTGCCTTCATGCTCTTTGTTCTCCTGCCCATGTCACCTGCCATAGTTTCTGCCCCTCATGCCATTGTTGGTTTTTACCTGATGTGTTTTGCCTATCACCCATCCTCCAGCTCAAGCCTGCTCCCTTCACTCCATGCCACGTCTCCCTTTTCTCACAGCAATCAGCCCTGATTCTACGCACATGTTCAGCTCATCTAGGTCACCTGCTCTGCACCCTTTATAAGCTCCATTTTCACTCTCCATTAGTGCCAAATTATTAAACCTCTCATTTTCCCTGATTCTTAAGCCATTCATAGTTTCATGCCTGAACCTCAAGCCTTGTGTTTTGGACTACGACCTCACGCCTGCTTCTTGGATTGTCTCTCTGCCTGCTGCTCGGCTGATTTTGCCCTTCTGACTCTGGTACATCAACTTTTTCTGGCCCTTTGACTCTGGATTTTGGATCACCCCTTGGATCTGTTTAAAGAACTCTGACTCCCCATGCTTGACCCCTGCCTTGTCTTCTGGATCACAACCCTACCTCTTCTGGATCCTCTCCCTGGTTTAGCTGCAATTATAAATAAAACTGTTTTCATTTCTTTTACTCGTGTCTTGTCATTCTGAATCCAAAAACCTGGTTTCATGACAATTTTAAGCCTAACTAAGACAATATGCCACAATTTGGTACAACTGATTATCAACTGGTGGCCCGTGGGCCATTTTGAATGTGTTATAGGTGCTGGGTATGTTCAGGCTCCTGTTTAATATACCATATTTTACATTAGTGTTTAGCGTATATCTTCCTTGTATGCTGTTTCTTGTTATACTTCATATTTTTGCTATTTTTGGGTGTAACAGGGACCTTGGGTACACAATTTTGTTCCACCTCATGTATCACATGTGATGTGAATGACAATAAAGAACCTTGAACCTTATTTTCGGCCAAAAATTAAAAATATATAATTTTAACATTTATTGATAATTTTACATTTTAGGACAAAAGAAAAGACCACATTTATGTAAAAGAAAAATGTATAGCTTATATGTAACAAGGTTACATATAAGCTATACATGGTTCTGGATGGAAGACCTGACTCTTGCGTGCAAGTAAAGCCGGTGGAATCTTCATCTCTTTGAGTCTGTTTTTTGAGCGACTCTTCCATTTTTCCTAACAGATGAACTCTGCAGGCTTCCTTTGAATCTTCCTTTTATCTGTAGAAATATTAAGTGTCCCGCTTTGATGTAAAATGAAATATAAGTGTGTAAAGTGATTAAATTTCATGTTGATTTTGATCAAAGCCTCAAAGAGCCACAGCGGTGAGACCAAAGGGCTGCATGTGGCCCCATTGCCGCAGGTTGCAGACACTTGATTTAATCTTAACATGACACTGGTAGTAGGTTTATGGTTGTATTAAAGTGAACTCAACCTAGATGGTCTGTTTTTCTTTCCGCTGCTCCCTTCTGCAGGGGTCATCACAGTGAGTGAGCTCACATGAAGGACATGGCAAATTGTTTTACTCCAGATGCCCTTACTGACGCAACCTGGACTCAAACCTGCAGCTTCTGGATTATAAGACCGCGGCACTGACCAACAAGTTACTGTTGCCCCCAAATAAACTAGCTGGTAAAAATTATTAATAAAGCAAATATTAAATGCTAGCTTAAAGTTATGCATTTTAGAGGGTAAATTATCAGCAGTCTGTGTTTTACCTGCATTCTAAACAATTTCCTGACAGCAAGCTATCAGTATTTTAATTTAACATTCTCAAATAAAAATGACATAAAATTTCAATGTTTGCCTCAAAAGATAAATTAAAAATATAAATAAAGTTTAACAATTATTTAAATACAAATATTGCAGCATCACATCTCATGTTTGTTTCTTTTATACTTTATAATATAATTTCTTAAAAGGCAGTCAGCTGCAGTATTGACCAGTTTAGCTTCACTTCTGTCAGTTTTCATTTCATTAAGTACGTTGTGCACATAGTAGCCTTCCATATTAATGCAGAGACATATGTTGTTATTGGTTTATAATGGTAATGATAATTAACCTGGTCACTGAGCACAACAAACCTCATGTGGAACTGGAACACAGTAAAGTGACATCATTCCCTGATCCTAGTTTTAACTGCAGAGTTAAATGGAACGATGCATGAACATCTGACAGATATAAGAAAACTTTTGACAATATCACATTTGCTCACAAGCATAGAAACGAGCTGGTCTCAAAGCTAAAACAAAAAGATGGACTTTCTAAAAACTGATTTTCTCTTTCAGTTAAGTCAAAACAACACAATGAAACACCGTTACTAAAACGTGTTTATCGGTTTTAGTCAAATTTAGGGAATAATATAGACTGAACACTTCACTAAAAGCAAATTTTTGTTTCTGCATTTGGCTTGGCAAAAAACAAAACCAGTATTATCAGTGCAGCTTTCAATCTACCAAAATGAAAAATGTGTTTCACAACACAGACTACCAGTCAGATGCAAATACATTGTTAGCATGTACCCGGTAACAAGAGGGAGCTAATATTATAGTAGCATCCCTCGAAGGAATGCCTTTTCCTTTGCTTGAAAATGTTTTAAAACAAAGATGATTCACAACCTGTTCTTGAAATGTTTGCTGGCAACAACTCTCAGCGCCCCAAAGTGGATGACAAGAAATAACACCAAAAAAGTTAAATCATGTCATCCGGACAGATTTTTCTTGGAAGAAATGTTTTGCCTTTCATTCAGAAGACTTCATCAGTCTGAAGCCTGCCACCAAAATCTGTCATATAAATAGTACCTTATTGACGTGTTTCAAGCCAGCCTGCTGTGAAATTCCCAGAACTCAGATACTATGGTACTAAAATTGAGCTCAATATTTTATAAAACTTACAGGGTTAAGCTGCCTTCCACATATCTCAGAAATCAAACCCTGGATCCAGGAGTGGCATCTGATCTGGCTCAAGTCAGAACCAGAAGGATTTGCTCAAACACAAGCAACCCCTGTAAAAAACAATGGATTTCTCTGCATTCAAACTGTGGAGCAGCATGTTCACTATAATAATTGAACATTACAGTGCTATGTCTGGATAACTACAATAGAAACTGACTGAAGAAAAAATAAGATGTCTATTACCGCATCTATTACAACTTTGTATGCACGTCAGCCATATTGAATTTTGATGTCTTGGTTGGTGAAAAGCCTCCACGTGTCCCAAGTCAGAATTCCAACTTTGGTGGATGCTCCAGTTGAATTTCCTCGTTTTTTTTTCCCAACTTTGTTCTCTGAAAGTCCACCTTGGAATCCAGTAATGCAGCATTTACTTTGTTTGCTTAGGTTGATTAGCTGTGACAGCCATCTTGAATCGGATTGGCTCCAAACCATAAAAGAGTTGCAGAGCCACGTCCAATGATTTCTTTTTAGGAGTTCCATTCATATCCATCCAGTGGCTCATGAGATAATTTGTCAACAATATTTAACAGAGAAACACACACAAAACATTACATGATTGCCCACATGTCATGATAGTGGGTGGTGAAAAGAACTGTGAACTTTTCACTGTATTGTAATGTTTGTGCAGGGTGAGAGAAATCCCATTTGGAAAAAAAACTTTACAGATAAACACATTGTTTACAAAACTGAGTCAGATGCTATCAGTTCCATAGAAGAAGTGGGTACAAAGAGCTACAGAGCTACAAAAAGCACATAAACCAGCTATTGCTTGATTTCAGCTATGTTACATCTGTCTGAGTCATTTGATCACAGGCACAAAGTGTCTTAACCTCAGTGAGGCCTGCCTTCAACCCACCGTCCCATGACTTCCTTCTGCTGCACATGTGAATACACCAAAGTGAAACCACATACAAACTGTTTTTCCCCTTCTTAAAACATCTGATTTCCATATGAGCACATGATTACTGGATATTTAAATGCTGCAGCACAACGTTATGCTCTCAGTTGCAACTGCTTTTCTGATTGCTTGTGTTCAAGAACCTGCAGCTGAACGAACAAGATGAAACTCTGCATCCTGCTCACGCTCGGGACTCTGGTCGTGCTCGTTCAAGGTAGGAGCCTCAAACAAATACAACGAATGAATAAAATATTTGTTAGCAAGGAAACAAATTGTTTATTTACTATGACTGCATGTAGCTTTATCATCTTAAACTGTGTACTTTTATGGTGGTGGGACACAAAAACAAACTCGCTGGAAACACTGCAAGATATTTTATCATGTTTTTCTCCCATTTCTAAAAAAACCCACAATTGTCCAAGAATTTAATATAAACTAAAACTTGTTCTTGAGACTTCAATCAATAGTGGAGCCACTTGTTCAAGCCATTATTCACAAGAAATGATTGCATGTTTAATTTAAATTACCATATTTTTTGGGACTATAAAGTGCACCAGATTATAAGGCACATTAAGCAAAACAAGTTAATTTTGACAGATTTTTGAGCGCCGTGTACCACATAAAATCGGTTCGAGGTCACTAAGCGCAACCAGAATTAATACATAAGGCTCACTGTCGATTTTTAAGAAAATTAAAGGATTTTAAGTGCGCCTTATAGTCTGAAAAATACTGTTTTTTGGTGTGTTTTTTTTACAGGTAAACCCCAGTAAAATCTTGCGTTTAACTTCTTATAAATGTGACCTAAGCTAGAACACGTTCAAGGAACAGGGGGTGTTGAGGGTGCTACAGCACCCCACAGTGGATGACAAGAAATAACACCTACAATATGAAAGGAATGAATGAGGAAACCTGTCTCCTGCCTCTTGCACAGTGAGAGGCAGGAGATAAGCAGCAGATAAGCAGCAGATAAGCAGCTGCTCCCTTGCAACCCAGAAAGGAAAATGCAAGAAAATGGATGGCTGAATGTGTAAACATTTTTTTAAAGCATAAATCCTAGTGTTATGCAAGATTACAATCCAATTTGTATGTATGTATGTATGTATGTTTTATTTATTCATTTCATTTCATCCAAACAACAAATATAATACAATTTAAAGAAAAGAAAAAAGATATACAATCACAGAAATAAAATGAAAGGCAGCAGAAGAAGAATGAGTTCTTATAATATCTGCCCCTTGTCCCCAAAATATATTCCAAACAAAATTACTATACAAAAGCAAGATGAATTAATAAAAATAAAAAAATAATAATAATAAAATAAAAACTTGGCAATTTTTATTTAACAATTTAAGTTAATGACTCATAATGGGAGAAGTTGGGTTTCTGTTTGGTCACATTTCTTTTCTCATTTAACACTGTTTCCCACAGCATCCCATATATAAAACACATTTCTGTAGGTTTTAATGTACCAGAGTGAATTACATCACATTGTGATAACTGGCTGTCAGTTGAAGTGAAGTAGAAGACAATTCAAGAAAAAAGAGGAAGCAGAGCGTACTTACTTCACAAGTTGTTAAATGTGATGAAACATGTTTATAGAAAGTGGATTTCTTAGCATTTGATTCATGAATTAGCAGCCATTCAAATAACAGCAGTGATCACGATGATTTAAAAAAATATATGCAATTCCAAGTGAATTGAATCGCGTGAAAAAACACCTCGATGCTATAAGTTTTTCTGCTTCCATTGGTGAAATATGCAATTTTGATTGACAGGAATGCCGCCAATCAGCAGGGATTTTAACACACACTGTCGGTGCCTGCAATTTGAGTCGAGGATCATCCCTTCGGCGAGCCTGAAGAACATCAAACTGGTCCCAGAGGGGCCTCACTGTGCCGAAACCGAAGTCATGTAAGGAAATTCAACACAAAGATTGATTTAGTTCACACAGGAAGATTTATATCACTTTTAATAGCGGACTTTATGGTTTTAGAACATGTAACAAAACATAATTAATGCAGCTTTGAATGGCTGTTACCAAGTTTTGATCTCTTTTAATCTGGAAAGTCTTGTGTGTATACTGACAAAGTTTCAAGCCAAACCTCAAAAACATATACAGGGAGCAAAAAAATGGCCAACTTTCTTTTGGGTATAGACCGGGGGGGGAGCACAGTTACTGAAAGATCAGAGCTCATATAGGGACATCCAGCAGTTATTGTTTAAGCAAGTTTGTTTAATGGTTTAAAAT